AGTTCAGTAGACGTTCACCAATATATCTGTTGGACAGTCGCCAATTGGCGAAGATCCATTGAACTTTCGCCAATACATTCCGTGGAATTTCGTCAATTATTGGCGAAAGTCAAAATTGGCGAAGTTCCGGAATCCCTTGTGAACATGATCTGACTTCTAGAAAAAATTTCTAATAATTTTTTTTATTGTATAATATGATAAAAGATGAAAAAACAAATGTAATATGGTTTTTATCATGAGAAATTGAATTATTTGTACTATTGATACTTGTTGTTGAATAATTTCAGCACATACTACTTTTACTTGTTTGATAAGAAACGACCTCGACTTAGGCTTATTGATAATGAAGGATGTGAAGTTCGTCAACCATTGTACTCATTGTTGATGAGCATTTGTCTATTTTATTCCAATTTATTTTTAAAAGATAAAGGAAATAGCCAAACAAACCTGTTAATAGGTTCATGGACTTTTTTATTTGATGGAATTTGTTCTATTTTTCTATATGAGCCAGTTCATATAAGGTACCATCTAACTTGCTCGATCAAGGTCATTCGATTTTGCTCAATTTAATATGTGTTGTAGGCAGGCCCCGCGCGAGGGTCCCAAGATTGGGGGGGTGTGACGAGATTTCAAGGCAGTCAAGATTGAGGGAAGCAAAATTTTTTTTCGCATCAGATCTGATGTTAATCTTTTTCTGCGGACCTAAAATGTAATAATTTTTCGCGAAGCGACAACTTTTTGCAACCTCCTTAAAAAATTTGATTTTTTCTCGCAAATTTTCAAGAAGAGAACTCGAGTCCAATATGAGAAAATTCCTCGATACTGTCGTTATCGAAGGCGACCACTTTGGCACAAGTTGCTCTATATCAAGCTGTTTCAAAGGAAAAGTTGACTAAAGTATTATCCGATCCAAAGTAAAAGGCAAGTTACCATTTTTTGAATAACTTTTGATAGGAACGAGATAGAGAGCTGCGATTTTCACCATTCGAAAGAGCGATGTCCGAGCCATTGATCGGTATAGAACTCATTAAGACGAAGGATGTTTTTTTTTTATGGGTACCTTTGGATCAACACTTTTCCTTTGAGTATTTTCATCAATTTTTCGAATAATCTCAACTCAAATTATGTCAAAATGTAGCTCAAATCACCCTTTTTTTCGCTATAAAATTAACATTTGTTTTTTTTAAATCCGCTTAGAATAAGCGATTGAGAGATAATGAAATATGTGATAATTTTATAGCGAAAAAAAGGGTGATTTGAGCTACAATTTGACATAATTTGAGTTGAGATTATCGTGAAAATTGATGAAAATACTCAAAAGAAAAAGTGTTGATCCAAAGGTATCTATAAAAAAAAAGCATCTTCCGTCTTAATGAGTTCTATACCGATCGATGGCCCAGACATCCCTCTTTCGAATTGTGAAAACCGCAGCTCTCTATCTCGTTCCTATCAAAAGTCATTCGAAAAATGGTAACTTGCCTTTTATTTTGGATCGGACAATAGGAAGTTTGTCTAAGTTAACTGCGTTACACAATTGTTATTTTTCGCGAAGCGAAAACATTTTTCAGACTCACGAAAAACTCTTTTTCCCTTATGTTGTTCGAAAGCAAAAAGTGTTGTGATAACTCTTATAGATTTCGCCGCCGAAGGCGGCCACGCTAGTGACGATTGTTGGAAAATGAAGCTCTTCAAAAGAAAGAGAGAAGTAAAATTGCGTTAAAAACAGAAAAATCACAGATATTTCTAGGTTGAATACGCTCCCGTCGTCATGTTTTCGCGAAGCGAAAAATTTAAACATCCCTTCAGAATTTTCTAGGAAAAAGTTTCCAAAAGATTTATCGATTTTGTTGGCTACGAATGATTAATTATTAATTATTGGGGGGGTGTACACCCCCCTACACCCCCCCCACTTTCGCGGGGCCTGGTTGTAGGAGTGGGGGTTTCTAGAATTTTGATGCGAGCCGTTTGAAAAAAAATTGTTCTTCCGTTCTTGAGATATTGAAATTTTTCTCAGGATACTATTCTGTAGTATTAAGAAAAAAATAAGCTTAAATTACGTAGGTGAAGTTAGCGTCCGATTCGAGTAAATCTCCCGCCGATTCGCTCAGGAACACGCTCCAAGTGCTCCATTTGTGTTCCAAGTACAACTCGATGAGCTCTATCAAATGGTGTATTCGGATTTTACGTAGCTCAAACTATGTGTTCGCAAACCTCAAAATACTGGTCCAAAAGTATGAGAAATGGCCCATCAGCATAGTAATTCTACCGCCGATTCGCCCAGAAACATGTTAGAAGTGCTCCAATCGGGTTCCAAGTACAACTCGATGAGCTCTATCGAATGGTGTATTCAGACATTCCATAGCTCAAACTGAGTGTCCAGAAATCCGTGAATACTGGTCCAAAATGTCAAACCGGCAAGTAATTCTACCGCCGATTCGCCCAGGAACATGTTAGAAGTGCTCCAATCGGGTTCCAAGTACAACTCAATGTGCTCTATCGAATGGTGTATTCAGACATTCCATAGCTCAAACTGAGTTTCCAGAAATCCCTGAATACTGGTCCAAAATGTCAAACCGGCAAGTAATTCTACCGCCGATTCGTTCAGGAACATGTTAGAAGTGTTCCAATTGAGTTCCAAGTACAACTTGATGAGCTCTATCCAATAGTATAATCGGATTTTCCATAGCTCTAAGTATGTTTCGAAAAATGCCGAAATAGTGGTCCCAAATACCAAACCGGCAAGTAATTCCGCTGCCGATTCGTTCAGGAACATGCTCCAAGTGTTCCAATTGAGTTCCCTGTACAACTTGATGAGCTCTATCGAATAGTGTATTCAGATTTTCCATAGCTCAAGCTAGGTTTCCAGAAATTTCTAAATATTGGTCCAAAATGCCAATTAGCATAGTAATTCTACCGCCAATTCGTTCAGGAACTTGTTTTCTTACAATGTCTTATTCTTTTTTACTAAACTTTCAGATGACAGACATTATTGAAAAGAAAACTTTAATGATATCATTCT